CCCCTTTAATTCAGCCTTGAAGGCGCTGCTCTGCTGATATCCTTAAAGGGCTACGCGGAGCCTGTCATTCATCGTCCAGTAATGGAAATGCGCACCCTCCTTCAGGCCTCACAGCCCTTCCAGTTCTACCTGCAACCTCGTTTCAGCTCCGTTTTCTTTTCTTTTTCTTTTTTTAAAAATATATTTTATTGATTTTTTACAGAGAGGAAGGGAGAGGGATAGAGAGTTAGAAACTTCAATGAGAGAGAAACATCGACCAGCTGCCTCCTGCACACCCCCTACTGGGGATGTGCGCGCCACCTAGGTACATGCCCTTGACCAGAATCGAACCCGGGACCCTTCAGTCCGCAGGCTGATGCTCTATCCACTGAGCCACACCAGTGAGGGCTCAGCTCCGTTTTCTGTGCCTTCCCTCCTGCCTCCCTAAGTTCCAGCCAGACGACTCTCCTGTTCATGGCCTGTGAGCGCTCTACCTCTCTCTCTTTTCCCTTCAGGCCGTTCCCTCTGCTTAGAAAGCCCTGCATCTCCCTTAATGTGGCTTTAAAACTCCTAACACCCCTCAAAAACAGGATCAAACATCACCCCGTCCATAATCTGGTCCCCTTTTCTCTTCAACGGAAAAACTCCTTCTGTGGATTCTCAAAGAACTTGGATTAAACCTCTCGCTACGGTTGCCGTTTGCATTTGTCTGGGCTTCTGGTCATCACCAGGCCTAGGTGGCCGTCCTGGTCAGCAGGGATGCAGCGGGAGGTAAGGACCAGATCTCAGCCTTTGTCGTGTTCCACATAGCCCCGCCCCTCCCAGCGCACCTGGGCATGATGGGAACTTTGGAATCGGCCAGAGCCCTGGGGGGAATCTAGGCCCCACCACCTGGGACTCAGGGATCCTCCTCCCTACAGCAGGGGGCCTGATGCTGACCTCACAGCGTCACCGGGAGAACGAAGGAGGCAACACAAGCAAAGCATGAGCACTTGCTGGCACATTTACAGAAACCCTTTCTTTCTCCCCAAATCACAGCTTTGAATATTTAAAAGAGAAACGCAGGGAGTGACTCTGATGTCCCCCACGGCCCTGTTCCCAAGGTGACCTGCGTACGGGGCAGGGGAAATGCAAGGAGTGGGACCCGGGAGGCTTTCTCCTCCTCTCCTGTTCGTTTTATTTTGAAATTTTCCCTTGATGAACACAGTTTACTGCTTAGGTTAGAAAGCACTGTTGTAAGGGGATCTGTGCACAATCTGCATTTATATTGAGAAACGCTATCTATCACTGCCCACTCCAGCAACATTCTGGGCTGGCTCCTGCGTGTCCCCACCCTCGCTCCCCCAGAGGCTGCCAGCTCCGCGTCTGTGAATGCTGTGTCTCTGAGCAATCCCGGGGCTCCCAGACTCCCCACGGAAGTCCTGCCCCCCGCCCCCACTCATTTTCCTTTCGTTTGTCTCCAGGGCCACTGCTGCACTGAGAAGTGTTCATTGTTATTCTCTGCCCGGGTTTGAAGGGCATGTTTAAAATTTGTCTTTCCTGCTGGGGTGGGTGATGGATGAGACGCACTAAAGTGGTATTTCCTGCCTGAATCACGCTCCCCTTGAGATGGGAGAGCCTTCCTGCCAGGGATCCCGAGAGAGGCAGGGCCACTCCAAGTCCCACAGGATGAGAGGTGCTGGGCAGGAGGGGACCAGTGTGACTCCAAGCGTGGAGCAGTGCAGGGACCACTGGGTGCAGAGCCAGCCCAGCTGCAGGCCCCGCCCTGCTGGGTCCTTGTGTTGTGACTCCTGGCCAGTGCCTGGTTTCATCTCTCTGGCTCTCCTCTTGGTCCCTAGGAGGCTGAGCAGGCAAATGCGTTGTGTTTATCAGGGACTGGCTACAATGCCGTCTTCCTTAACCTGGGATGCTAGCACAGGGTACCAGCGGTCGGGTGGCTTATAAACCATGGAGATTTATTCTCACAGTTCTGGAGGCCGGGGAGTCCAAGACCAACGTGTCCGGTGAGGGCCAGTTTCTGTCATCTTGCTGCCTCCTCACGTGCAGACAGATGAGGGAGCTCTCTGGGGTCCCCTTCACCCTCATGACCTCATCGCCTGCCAGAGGCCCCGCCTCCCGCATCCTCACACCAGGGATTCGGTTTCCACAAACGCACCTTGTGGGACAGACAGCCTCAGCCCGCAGCAGGCGTGTTTAGGCGCAGCTCATATGCACAGAAGTCGCCACAGTTCACCGAGCTCTTCCTGCCCGTTATCTCTTTCGATGCTCACACCTGTCCTGTGATGCGGGCATTATTCTCCATGATTGACAGACGGAGCTCAGAAAGATCAAGTGGCAAGTCCATGGTCACACTCTACTTGTCTAGTGGGACTGGGACTTCCATGCATGCCCATTGCCATGTATTATAAGTTTGAGGATAACTCACTAATGACACTCCCTTCGCTGTCCAAAAGACGAGGTGGATGGACCATCAAGATGTCACAAATGCTGGTTAGAGGACATGGCTTATGTCCTTGGGTAAGTGGCTGAGAATTGAGCTGACCACTCAGTCCGAGCAGCTAAAGTGGACAGGGCACTGGGCCATGTGGAGAGGGGTGAGCCAGGTCACGGAGGACACGCTCTGTGGGCAGGCTAATCCCAGGATGGAGACTGGAGCAGCGCCCCCGAGCCCGCCTGGTTTAGTCTTCCGCATGTGCCAATCAGAAGGGTCACTTCAGCCCCTGGTGACATTGAGGAAAGGAGGCAGGGAGAGGCCACTAACAAAGTCCTCTCCACACGGAAGGAAATGGGAAACATTAGGAGTTACATGAATCATGTTCCCCCCTCAACAGTGGAAATATCAAGAGTAAGGAACAAGGGTTCCCACATGACAGTAAGGATCACCGAGAATGTTGGACTCACTGTCAATGCCAGATAGTGTCAAAGGAAACGTTTATTGTGCTTGACTTGGAAGGGACACATTCCTAGGAATATGGGGGTAAGAGGGTGGGGGGCACACTTCCCCTAAAGCGTCCTTGAAACCCGTCTTGACGTTTCCTCTCTGAGCATCTGCCCAGGGGAGACTGTGGCACAGAGTCAGGCAAAATTTTCTAGTACCTGATTAAACGTGTTAACAAAGTGAAACAAAAGCCTTCCTGTAGCTAGCAGGAAGTCATCATAGAAAATAACGCTTATTAAATTGGACGTGCAGGGCTACAAAATAGGGGGAAATTCTTAGAGGGGTTTTTGATGAAAAGCTTGTCTGCAATGTCAGAATGTGTCAGAATTTCAGCCTGAGCTAGGAACGGACATAGTGTGGAAAGGAACATTCTACGCCTAAGAATACGTTAGGTTAAATTTAACCAAGAATAATTGGGGGGGGGAAACGCCAAAACCGTTCCTAGGTCCTTATGACATTTTTAAAAAGCAGCTTTGCTGAGATATAATTTACCTACTGTAAAATGTACCAGCTTTAAGTGTATAATTTTCATGGGTTTAGACAAAGGGAAATAGCCATGTAATCCCCGGTAATAATATGCGCTAGAAAACTATCTAATTCTTCACGTAGCGGTTTATGGAGCCATTCCTTGTGCTCTAGGGCTTGCTTGCTACCATTGAACCGATTTCATATAGAATTATATTTTGATTAAGGAAGGGAGCGATTAAAAATTTCCCTCGCAGTCAGCACGTTCTTTTAAATTGAAGCCGCGTCGTCGGAGCAGCACCTTCGGCTGCAAAGTTCTTCAAAAGGGGAGGAAAAAAAAAAACAGTCACTTGACAGCAAAATGTATAAACCTGAGTTCACAAAAGAGCTGGGCATACTGGCTCGGAGCTGCTGTCCTCAGCTCTGGAGCACTCCCCGCACCCACCGCCTCCTCCTGGCAGCCTGGCCCAAACTCCCGCTCAGCTCAGCTGCATTTACATAACATTTTACAGTTAGTGCTTTCACAACCATTTTACAGTTTAGAAAGTGCTATCGCATCCATTAACTTATTTAATCTCTTCCTGCTTGCCCCGAAGCTAAACAGGCCCTCCAATGAATTCACTCAGCGTTGGATCAAATCAAGATTCCTCTCTGTTTCCCAGCCCCTCCCTGGCCAAGCCTGGCTCCCTGCGTGGCAGGGGGATGGCTCCCCTGCCATGGGGCCCGGCAGTAATTGGTGGCAATCCATCATTCCCCGCATTCTGTCCCCGGCGAACGCTGGGTGTCAGCGGCTGATGAGCGGGCAGTCTGAGCCAACACTAATTTGGAACTCCGGCCCCGGAGCCAAGTCCCTGGTGCTCTGGCTGGGATTTGGGGTGAGGGTGGGAGCTGTGATAGACCAGCGCAGGACAAGGATCCGGAGGGAGTCCCAGGAGAAACTGTCTCGTTGAGCCTAGCTGTGGGATGAGGGGAGTCCTTGGGTGAGTGAAGGGTGAAAGTGAATCTCCCTTCCATCTGTGGGAAGGCCCTTTGCAGGCCCAGGACCTGAACGGGGTTGGAATGAACGGTGAATGATGCCAGTCCCCATGGCAACGCCCACGTCCCTGCCCCCTAAGCGTAACCAGGTGGCCATGTTTATTTTTAAGGTCATTTGGGGGCAATGACTTAGGAATCAGAGGACCTGTGTCCCAGGACCAACTCTGGCGTTAAATTGCCGTCAGCCCTTGAACAAGCCTCCTGCCTTCTCTGCTCTTCAGTCCTCTTGTCTGTACAAAGAGGGAGCTGATGAGATGATGCTGGGCGTCCTTAGAGCTGGAATTCAGGACCCATGGATGCGGGGCCGGGGAGGAGGTTTCTAGGAGTGGCAGCGGTCGTGTGCGTGGAGGGCTGAGGAAGGAGCCGGGGGTGCTGGTTGGTCACAGGGGTCTCAGCAAAGCGGGACCCCAGCTTCTACTTCCCTCTAGGTGACCCTGTTCGCTCCTCCTCCCCCCAGAATCTCTGGATCCCTGGCATCAGAACCCTGAGGAATTGCAGTTTGTCATGTGACACAGCAGTGTAGGTGGCAAAGGCTTCGCGCAGACAGGCGTTGACTCACACGCCGGCCCCCCCCCTCACTCACTTGGCAGGTAGGCTCCGCTTTCTGACGCGGGCCTGCAGGGAGGATGGCGGTCCCTGCGTCCAGAGGTGTCTGGGAAGATGAGACCAGACAACATGCGCAAAGCACCCAAGTAGAAGTTCCTCAGTGGACAGCTGTTACTAAATACCAATACTATTTAAGTAGTGAAGGAGTTAGACACACCGATGTCTCCCCCAGCCTATGGCATAGCGGCTGCCATGGACAATCGCATAAAAGTGTCTGGACCGAGTATTCCGGAAACCCTCCCTCCTGATCGCCCTGTGGGGAGAATGGGCTTGGAGCAAGAGGCCTGGGCTGGCCCCGGACCCGCTCGCCAGCGGAGGGGCCTGGCGCCTTCTGAGCCAGCGATGCTCGTTGGCTCATCCGCTGAGCAGGCTTTCCTTGGGCTGCCTGTGTACAGGGCGCACTGTGCCCAAGGAGCGATGCCAACCCAGCTCTGCCTGCCCCCGGTTTGCCCTGGGACTGTGAGGAGAGGATGTCAGGGGAGCAGTTGGTGGGATTTAAGGCGCCTTGCGAGAATCGGTCATTGTTATTACTATTCGTAATGTGTTACGATGACAACGCACAAAGCCAGGTGTGTAAATGTGTAAGGGAGACAGGAAAAGCCTGAGGCCACTGTGGGAGGGGCTTATTGAGGGATCCAGCTCCCATGGGCTGGCAGGACTTGAACACGGAGAGGAAATAGGCAGCTGAATTGCACCTTCCGGAAGGGCAGGACCAGGTCCTTGAGCCCACTCATCCCGGTGCCTACACCAGAGATGGAATCAGAGGCAGGAGGGAGGGAGGGAAAGTGAGGGGGACAGCAGCTGCTCCAGTGAGGGGGACAGCAGCTGCTCCAGTGAGGGGGACAGTAGCTGCTCCAGTGAGGGGGACAGTAGCTGCTCTAGTGAGGGGGACAGTAGCTGCTCCAGTGAGGGGGACAGTAGCTGCTCCAGTGAGGGGGACAGTAGCTGCTCCAGTGAGGGGGACAGTAGCTGCTCTAGTGAGGGGGACAGTAGCTGCTCCAGTGAGGGGGACAGTAGCTGCTCTAGTGAGGGGGACAGTAGCTGCTCCAGTGAGGGGGACAGTAGCTGCTCTAGTGAGGGGGACAGTAGCTGCTCCAGTGAGGGGGACAGTAGCTGCTCTAGTGAGGGGGACAGTAGCTGCTCCAGTGAGGGGGACAGTAGCTGCTCTAGTGAGGGGGACAGTAGCTGCTCCAGTGAGGGGGACAGTAGCTGCTCTAGTGAGGGGGACAGTAGCTGCTCCAGTGAGGGGGACAGTAGCTGCTCTAGTGAGGGGGACAGTAGCTGCTCCAGTGAGGGGGACAGTAGCTGCTCTAGTGAGGGGGACAGTAGCTGCTCCAGTGAGGGGGACAGTAGCTGCTCTAGTGAGGGGGACAGTAGCTGCTCCAGTGAGGGGGACAGTAGCTGCTCTAGTGAGGGGGACAGTAGCTGCTCCAGTGAGGGGGACAGTAGCTGCTCTAGTGAGGGGGACAGTAGCTGCTCCAGTGAGGGGGACAGTAGCTGCTCTAGTGAGGGGGACAGTAGCTGCTCCAGTGAGGGGGACAGTAGCTGCTCTAGTGAGGGGGACAGTAGCTGCTCCAGTGAGGGGGACAGTAGCTGCTCTAGTGCTGAGTCCATCAGCTGCCTGCGCCTCAACAGTCAGTGAACCCAATTATCTCACATGAGAGGTTCCCTCCGGCAATGTTCCCGGCGTGGGTGCCAGCACCTGAAGAGGGTGACTGAAGGGAGGAAAAAAGAGGGTGGTTGAAGGGAGGAATGAAGAGGGTGGTTGAAGGGAGGAATGAAGAGGGTGGTTGAAGGGAAGAATGAAGAGGGTGGTTGAAGGGAGGAATGAAGAGGGTGGTTGAAGAGGATGCTTGAGCTATATCGGGCCAGGGCTGGACAAGTGAGAGCAATGTGAGTGTGGGCAGCGGTGTGGTGGCATTCCACAAGAAGGCAGCTGTAATGGTGGGCCCGGGCACCTAGCCTAAGACCAGGGGCTGCTTGCTGAGGAAGTGCGGCCCTTGGAGTGGAGCATGCAGTGAGCTGGAGGAGCAGTGGCCGTGGGGACTGGAGTAAGTGGCCTGTGGTCAGGTTTCCAAGGTGATACAATGACTGGTGTTGACAACATCTGGGGTGAGACAAGGGGAGCAGGTGGGTTCGCTGGGGGAAGAAGGCTGTTGGAGGCAAGGAGTCAGGAGCTGGTGGGCGATGGAGCAGAGTTATCCACACACTGAGACTGGGACTGGAGAGGAAGGCGACGAACAGGAGTTCAAGTTCACAAGATCAGCGACGATGGCAGGGGAGGCACAGCTGATCAGCATGGACATCTGCGGGGAGGGAGGGGAGCTGATCTGGAAAAGGCACTTCCCAGGAAGCAAGGGGCACAGGCCCCGTTCCTGGTGGGATAGGAAGGTGCCTGAGGAGTGGTTCTGACCAACGGGAAGGAGAGAAGACAGATTCAGCCCAATAGTGTGCTGCCCGTGGTCAGGCTGAGGTCAGGGGGAAGCTGATGAGGGACACACATAAAACACACACACTCAGCACACACGGCGTCCTTTGGGGAAACGATTGTGACTGGGCCTGGGGAGGGAATGGCACGAGATGAACCCGCAGCCTCTGGGGTGTCAGAAAGTCAGAAAGCACTAAAGAGAGACCCACGATGGTGGGGGTCCTCCCAGGGCCTGCGGCCAATGGAGAGAGCCCGTGACCAGAGCTGGAACAGGCACATGGAGGCGTACGGGCTTATGATCCAAGTAGAAAATAAATACCCACCAGCCCATAGAGACATAACCACACGAGGGAATAAACAAGGGACAGGAGACACTGCACGCAAAAGACTTCCAAAGCGCTTCTGCACACGGCCCACCCTCGGGCAGGTGGAGCACAGCTCCTGCTCCTGGCGTGTGGGCAGCTGGGGACCTCAGAAAGCTGGCAGGATCGGCCTCCCCAAAAGGCGCCACTTTGACATAAGGATCGTTTTGAGCTGAAGGCAATTGAGAAGAAGCAGCTACAAGCAACCCCCCTGGCTTCCCTCTTGGTGCCGAAAAGCAAAGCATAACGTTGTGAAGGGGCCCCACTCCCTTCTCTACCGGGATGGACAGAGTTCATCACAGAAGACAACTCTAGACTCAGCCCCAGGGGGCACCAGAGAATCTAGGTGACACCGGACAAACTAGCCCATAGCACCCCCATATATTTGCCTTCCTACACGTTGCCATGCCCAGATCTCAAAGTCCCTTTCCTTCGTCTTGTCCCTTTTCTGCAGAATAGATTGTTTTGCTAAGATGCTGTGGGAGCCCATGCTCTGACCACCCCGTCCACTTACTCACACTGCGTACTCCCACTTATTTGTGCACCACCCACGTGTTAATCAACCTCTTCATTTTACTCTTAACCTGTCCCTTGCCCGTCTAATTTGTGGGACCCCAGCCAATAAGCCGAAGAAGGGGAGAGGTTTTCCTCTCTCCCACGCCCTCCAAAGAGTACCTACCGTGTGGAGAAGCTTAACCGCACGACCTCAGCCAAGTGATCAAGGTCAACATCAACAGGGATGAGTGCTTCCCTGCCCTGATACGATGTGATCGTCTCTGTGGTCTTTCTCCCCCCAAAACCCACACGCCCAACCCAGTCATGAGGAGAACAGTAGACAAAGCCCAACCGAGGAACGTTGTGCAGTGAGACCTGACTCCTCACAGCTGGCAAGGTCGTCGGGAAGACCCAAGGGGAGAGTCTCGAGAAACCATCACAGCCGAGAGGAGCCGCGGGAGGAGCCGAAGGAGACAGGGCCGCTCAGTGCAGCCTGGGGTCCTGGCTGGGGTTCTGGGACAGAGGGAGGCCGTCCGGCTGAATGCTAAGGAAGGCAGGACAAAGTTGTGCTCATTAACTGTGACAAATGTACCAGGCTGATGTGAGGTGTTAATAATAGAGGAAACTGGGCACCGGGTATTCGGGAACGCCATGTCCTATCATCACAATTGCTCTGTAAGTCTCAAACTATTCTAACGTTCACTTTAAACTGCAGCAGACTGGGTTCATTTAGCGCCAGGACAAGCAGCTCTGCACACTTCCTTAGGGTCGATAGTCTTCTGGTTCTAAAATAATAACGCTTCATTATGAAGACCATCATTTCGAAAAGATGACATTTTCAGCCACTTATTTCCGAGGGCAGGGATGAATATAGTAGGTATAGAAAGATGCTGAGGACACCTCTAGCTCTAATGGTGGAAAGGGGCCGTTGGCGTCTGAGATAATGTTAGCCACAATCATTGGAAACCCAGGCGTGGCCAGCAGACGCCCTGGATTTAAAACTCACCTATTGGCTGTGTAGTTCTGCGCAACGTCTCGAGGCCTCGACTTCTCCAGCGGCAACATGGGGATGAATGACCTGCTTTGCCTTCAGGGCGTCTGTGAATATTACAGGAGACAAGCATATGGGACATCGTGCAAGAGTTGCGAAGCTCCTGGCCCCGCTCTACGCGCCACAGATGACCACTCCCCAGCGAGTCCTGCCCAAGTCCCCCTGTGGCCGCCGCTGGCACCATTGGAGCCTTCAGCTGCTCCGGCTTCCGTGAGCACACAGATCGCCCAAGGATCTGAGTGACATGCAGATTCTGATGGAGCAGGTCGGTGTAGACGCTGCACCTCTCCCAGGCTCCCGGGGACCCACGTGAGCAGTGAGGACCTAAGCAGCAGGTCCTGGCCGAGACCACATGGTGTCCTTGGGCACGTGGCCTTCCCTTGCGGAGGCTCACTCTGCCCTCGGTGAGACAAAGCAAAGAAATGACACATAGAAACGAAGGGTTCCTTTCCCGAGAGTGAGGACTTGCCTCCATGTGACCAACTGGTCTACCCTGAGCTGCCTGGTTGCCTCGGCTGCACACTCAGGGTCTGGAGGCTCTGGCAGTAGCCACATGTGCCCGCTCCCTCCCTCAATTTCTCAGGAGGCAGCCCTGCTCCGGCCTCCCCGGTTGCTAAGGTGTGTAAGGATCATAGTGGGGACCTCGAAGGCTCAAGGGAAGATAAATTCCCTGATTTTACAGATAAAACGAAACGGAACACATCACATGATTCCAGTCTGAACTCCCTTCCGCGTGGTTCGTTTGGACACGCAGGAAATAAATCGCCAGCAGCCCAATAAAAACCAGCTGCTTCCAGACGGGGGGATGGATGGTGATTTAATGGAGACAGCCATCTGCTAGAGGGCAAGAAGCCCAATGCAGCAAGATACGAGTCAGACAGAACTAGCCCCTGAGTCATTAGAGGCCCGTGGCTGCTGGGAGAGATGTGGAGTTCTCACCACGTGAGCAGCCTTCCTGTACGCAAAGAGGAGCCCGCCCGGATGCTGCGGCCCCAGCAGGAGGGGTCAGAATCCGGGCGTTCATGGGAATAAACAACCGCTTCCGGGGAGACCTACGGGTCCCGAGTGATGAGCACCCCTTCTGTGTATCTGACACGTCACCATTTGCCAAATGCGTCCCCACCAGGAAGACCTTGAGTCCCCTGCCATTGCCCCCAGGGGTAGGGGTGGGATCATTGCCACAGGGTTGGCGACTCACTCTAGTGCCCACAGCCAAGGAGGAGCCAAGTCAAGCCCAGAATCCAGGTCATGGGCCTCCAAATGCTGCTACGGTGGCTGCCTCCAACTTAGGGGAGTGTCCCCAAGGTGCGTGTGTGTGTCATCCTGAATTATGGAGAGAATCTAATTACAGAGGTCCTGCCTGTGCAAGATCAGATGCCCTCCGCCTCTTGCAGAAGT